CAGGGGGAAAAAATCGGGATATTGAATATTCAGCCTAATTAAGGAGAATACTATGTCCTTTGTGATCAACCAGGCAGAAACATTTAATTACAAAACCAATTATGAGGTGGTGAATGTATCACATCTGACACAACCATCCCCCAAGCAGAACAGGACATTTTCAGGACTAGGAAGAGGAGAGAGGAAGGGAGGGTGACGCACAGAAGATGACTGCTTGATAGATGTGACTTTCTGTTTTAATTGTGTTCATGCATGTGTGGGAGGCGGAAACTAAGAGAGAAGCAGATAAGAACCCTTGAAATCATGAATATGTATTAACATATAATGTACATGAGGGTTAGTGACCTCACCTCTGTGCATACATTAGAGTCAGGAAAAGAGTGTAATTTGGTTCAATATTCAGGCAGCTTGACCTCCAAAATGATGAGGAAAACAGCAAGAGGCACTCAGGAAATACAAAGCCTGTAGCAATCTTATGCATTTGAACACCCCGCGGTAAACACTGTAGCTCGACAAAAACATCACTGTAACATCGATTTCATGATACGCAATTTATATCATTTGGTTACCAAAATATATATTTAATTAGGTCTTTCTTGGTTCTTTAAGGCTGCATCAAAGTTGAACTTATTACAGGGCTTAAGCAAACAAAAAGATGAAAGAAGAAATGCTGTGCACACTTTGGTCCAATTCAGGTATTTTATGAAAAAGGCAAGATTAATCAAGCCGCGTATATTACAAAATGGATCCCAGACAATGAAATGACATCAAATAGTGTATGTTTCTTTCACATATATGATTGTGTTAAGGCGCCTGCTGGGTCATCACTATGTTAACATTTTTCATTATTTATTAAAAAGGTATAGTATGCAGTATTTTCAAATGTATAGGTTATAGAAAGATTACCCCTCTCAGTCATCACTTATGTCCCACTAAAGCTGTGTGGAGGTTTGTATGGGACCTTGCTCTTTGATGGTATTTTCTCCTTTCTTCTTATTTTGCTGTGTTAGGCATGTTTCTTGGCGTTAACAAAGAGCTTTTGGGCCCCACATGAGGTGTAACTCAGCCAGTAAGCAGGGTTTGTCGCCCAGAGTCATTCCCTGGCAGTGATGTTGCCCTTTGTCCCGCCCCTCGGCATCTGTCTTGTAAAGGTAAGCTGATACTAAGGCATAAGCTACCTTGGGCAAATGTATGATACAGTGGCGGTAAATGACGATGAGAAAGGATTGTTACATTGCTGCATGTTTTTATATGCTCAAGTGTCTCTCCTTTGATATGAAAGTTCGACTTATTTGAATGCATTACGTAGCAAAACTGGTAACACACACACTAATACCATGTATACATCACTTCAGGGGACATTACATTGACTTACATGCATTTCCTGGAGACTTATCCTAACCTTAACCATAACCAACATATGCCTAACCCTAACCCTTACCAAGTCTTCACCCTAAAATTAATGATTCCCCTTATGGGGACCTCTATTTCGTCCCCATAAGGGAGGCGAGTCCCCACAAGTGACTGTGTAAACAGATGTAGGTCCCCACAAGTATAGTAATGCTAGGCCACACACACACACACACACACACACACACACACAACACACACACACACAAACACACACACACACACACACACACACACACACACACACACACACACACACACACACACACACACACACACACACACACACACACACACACCACACACACACACACACACACACCACACACCACACACACACACAGCAGTATTTTGGCCTGCCAAGAGTTGTGTCGACAGATCACGGCCTGCCTCTGTAAAGAAAAGTACTGTACACAGTGTCGACTGATAATGAGATCTACTGGGCATCCAACGGTCTTTTCGCTTCTCCTCTGTCACTATCGGCTAGCTCACTTTAGAGACCGGCTCTAAAAAACACATTAAAAAGGTGTCGTGCCTCTTTTTCTCACACTCACTCGCTAAACAGTGAGACGAAAAAGAAAGAGACAGAAAGACTATTGACTCTCCTCCGATCTCCTTTAACTCCATGAGTTGTAAGTCCCCTCATAAACACATCGGAGCATCTGTTGATGGCATCTTGGCATCTCAGTGGGAGATGAGAGAGGCAGCTACAGTAGAGGGTGCTTAACTATAGGACTCCTTCATACTCACCAAGCACGACACACACACACACACACACACACACACACACACACACACACACACACACACACACACACACACACCACACACACACACACACACACACACACACACACACACACACACACACACACACACACACACACACACACACACACACACACACACACACACACACACACACACACACACACACACACACACACACACACACACACACACACACACACACACACACACACACACACACACACACACACACACACACACACACACACACACACACACACACACACACACACACACACACACACACACACACACACACACACACACACACACACAGCAGTATTTTATAAGTGGTCCCTTCCGGCTGCCTTTATTCAAAGTTTTATGAGAAAGGAAATGCATTAAACTAAATGTTTCTCGGGGAAAACACGGACTGTCAACTTTGTTAACTCCACAGGGTATCCATAAATGTTGCTTTTTCTTGTTGACATTTTCTCAGAGATGTATTGGTTCAACTCTGTGGTCATTGTTTGGCTGTATTTTGTGTTGTCGCTGTTGTTGTAGCAGTACAACATTTCACACTGCTTGTTTGCAGTAAACACTTTTGCAATTTCTATAATATTTATTTATAATTTGTTGACGTTACCGGTTCCTACTCTTATTTCTTCCCTCTTTAGAAAATACTGCTACTTTCTTTTTTACAATGTGTATTATTTCTGTTAAATTAGTTGTTAATATGTAAGTCCACTCTTCCTCCTTTTGCCTTTTATTTTGCACTTTTGCTTCTATAACACTGTTAATTTCCCTGCTTCGGGGGAAACATTCTGATTCTGAGTGCAGGATCACATTACTTTGTCAGATCTGTGTAGTGTCTGTTAGTTTGAACACAGACATAATGTCACTTTCAGTCCCATATAAACTATAGTGACTCTAAACACATCGTAAAGGCTTCTAGAAATAACACCGGCTGCACCCTGGCCAGTGTGTGAGTGAGTGCCTGTGTGTACATGCATACACACAAACAAGCACATCCCATTCAGTTGCGTCCGGGCCCATGAGCTGACGGAGAGGACCTGGCAGGGGTCTTATCTCGCTCACATTGCCGTGTGACTCACAGCCTCACCAGGCAGCAGCACAGTCATTAGGGGCGAGAAGACCTTTCATATCTCGGCCGGCCCCTCAGCTCCGGCCAACAAGGACCAACTCTCTCTCTCTCACCTCTCCTGCTGTCAGCTAGGCGTTTTGTCTGCGTCCCTCTATTCTCCATTGTGTTCCTGTCTGGCGCTGTCTCACACAGATTTAATGTCAGGTGTTCTCTCACTGTGTTAAATAAGTCTTTTTTTCTCTGCCTGGAGGGGACAGGTCCCATGTTTCCCCTGCCAACCATCACCACTTCACACACACACACTGACTTTGTATGTGTGTATGTGTGTGTGTGTGTGTGTGTGTGTGTGTGTGTGTGTGTGTGTGTGTGTGTGTGTGTGTGTGTGTGTGTGTGTGTGTGTGTGTGTGTTGGAGATATAAAGGGTATTCAGGCGTGGGCTGCTGGTGGCTGTTGGGACGTTTCACCCCATTCACTTTCTCATCGGATCATTTTCCCAACGCCCACCTGCATTTTCTGAGGGCACAAACCGCATTCCTAACCCATCACGGTGGAACAAGAGGTGGATAGGTAGGAGGGGCTCTGTTCCTCTGATCAATGTGTGTGTGTGTTAGATGAGCAGGGACAATGACACAATATCTGTCAGAGCCCTCCTCCTCGTGAGACTGAGCAAGCAGGCATGACAGTGAGATGACTGGCACAATGAAAGCAGAGCTGCAGGCAGGACGGTAGGACGTGTGCCAGAATAATGAGAAAGAGGAACAGCGCCAGACAAACAATCTGAGTAACTGGACAAGATTTCAACATATTTCACTATCAATGTGGCATTTAATATATTAAGTGTGACTTTCTACTGTGTGTATCTTGGCATATTATCTGTAGTTCCTTAAGGGGCTTTTCAGAAATGTCAGCCCTTCAAAATAAGATGCTGACTCAATCACTACTCTGAGATACAACTCAGAAAATGTCTCCAGTAACAGAGTGTTAAATAACAAATTCAATGCTAAAGTAACCTAAAAACAATACATGAGGAGCTTTCTAATGGTATTTTAAAGTCTGTGTTTCAGCCAGGTTATTATATTATTAATACTTGATATGATGTTGGCCCATTTAACATGAAAACACAACTGTTCTAATGAAAAAAGCCTCTTTAAAGTGATGTGTTGTCATCATTCATGATAAGGCTTTTTCAAGCTATACTTCATTGAATTACATTTCCAATGGATCACACTACTACTTGTATATAAAGGGATGGGTCGAGGTGAACAAATACCAGTTATACATAACACTCAACACTCAATCTGTAAGGAGTCTTCTTGACGTCTTTCAGCTCATTATTTTCATTTTACGGCTTAAACCTTTAGTGTTTTGGTTCAGTCTCACTGCTCTCATCATCATGCAGCTGCTTTGAAAGAGAATCTCTGAAAAACACACTCTATCTACCTGCCAAGCAGAGTTAGTGGCTCTCTGGTGAACTTTGTGAAGCATTTCGCAGCTTAAGCGCCAGATATTTCCCTCAGGAGTTGGTGGAGACCAAACACAGAGCTAAAAGATTATTGTTCTTAAATGTGCCTGATGGCCATCAACCCAACTCTAAACAAATACACTGTGTTGTTCTATGTGTAGATTAGCAGCTCTTTGCTATGACGTTAGCCATATCAACTGTATTAAGTGTCATTGTTGTGTTAACAGGTTGTTGAAAGATAGATAATGTGGAGAATCAGTCACTCTGTCTCACCTCATGCTTGCCCTTCATCCTGCAGATCCTGATGTCATTCTTGTTCGACTCCCACGTCCTTTTCTGTATATAAAAAAGCACACACATTCATGCGTGATTACACATTTGCATTTCTCTATAGTAGAAGGTGACATTTTCCTGTGACAAATGATACCTAATTTAAATGAATACATGCTACAGAGTCTGTCCTAAAGGTTCTCACCTTGCTGTAGAACATCTCGTCTCCTGCAACGATGTCCAACTCCACACGGAAAAGGTCATCTCTGCAGAGAGAGAGAGAGATTGGGAGTCAGCCAACGCAGCACTATACGAAGCTTAAGGTAAGGCAGCTAGCATGAAAACCAGTTCCAGCATGGATATTATTTCTAGCTCAGAACAGTGCAAGTCGATGCATATTTTCTCTGGATGAAATCCAAGCCACACACTAAATACAAACTCTGAGTATGAATATTTCCACTATATATTACATCAGTGTGGTTATACAACTAAATAATTATGCGTGCAGCTATGTAATGCATATATATATCAGAGACCTTTATTACTTTAAGTTGATCAGACCCTCAGAGATTAGGAAACAGCTTTATCATGTCTTTCATTTCTCCCAATATATATCAGGAATGGTACCTGACTGCATAATGTTCCAAATCTCCCCTTTGCCTTTTGCTTCTTCTCATTAAACTCTACGTGCTGCATTAAAAATGGCCCCCGAATTCTGCTTATCAGTCTTATTCAAAAGCCTGAAATTGAATTAATGGATGATTTAATGAAGTTGTTAGAGTGGTGCTTGCACACCCCCACATGCTGCCTACACGTGGTCCTAAACCAAACACTATCTATTAATGATATTCTAAACCCTGCTTTCTCTCATGGTGGGTGCCTAATTGTAATATATGTACTATAACAACGGCTTGTATGTACAAAGTCATACATTTTCCCCTTTTGAATGATGAATACAGATACAGCTGCCAGCTAGAAAGGAGTTCATTGACCCTCATGAAGGTGCATAACGTACGTTGGCTGTGTGGTGTGTTCAACTGCATCTTTCTGGCCATGATGCATTGGACGTGAGGCAAAGCAACAGTCGCAGCTTTTTATTTTTGATGTTGGCTTAGTGTGTGCACCTTTAATCTGCTGATGATTTCTCAGTAACCTTGGATGTTCCTGTGAAAATGCCAGCTAAATGAGAGTTGGGCTTGGCAGCTCTAGTAGCAGCTGACGCCTGCATATTGATCAAGGCCTTTGTATCTGCTGGGATGAATCTAAAGCTTGGAGATCATCTAAGCAAAGGGCCGGGGCTCTGGATGGGCTAATCTGTAAATCTGCCATAGCCGTGTTATTGCTGCAGTATCGATCCCATCTCTGAACAAGCTCTGCCTCCCAGTACTGCATGTTCTCTTGGTTTCTCCTTTTCCTTTGATAGCAGAGGTTATCATGTATGCATCCATGTAAAGGTGCCTGCTCATGTGAGTAATCGTACCACCTCGGTGTGTGTATCAATGTGTGTTTGCATCTGTTTCTCTAAGAGAGATAAAGCGGTGAGAATGTGTGCATGATGAGAGCGCAGGTAAGCCATCAAGGTTACTCCAATCCTGAATAATTCATCCTCACTTCCTGCTGGCGTTTTAGTAAGATTCCCACTCTTACTCAACTTAGCAGAATGGGACAATGGCTAAGTAGCTAAGAAGTGCAAAATCACCAAACACTAGCTCAGTGCTTCTCTGCTTAACAGGTCAGAGTTTAAGCGTTCTCCAAACAGTGGAGTGGGCCAGAGTGTGAGGCGTAATCTCATCCAGGCTGCTTCAGCGTTGTCTCAGCATTAACATAATGAATATAGCAACAGGCCTCCTAGTCAGAGTGGCTCGCAGCCAGCGCTGTTGCCTCTGATGGTGCAGAGGAGGGGGAATTATTTATGGTGCAGCCTCTCTCTCCATCACTGATCCTGCCTTCCAGGTTGTTTGAATGATGCAAAGCCTGTATGTTTTTAGTTTTTTGTATGTATGTGTGTCAGTGGATTTAATGTTTACTGCATGTAATAGAAGGTTAGGAATCAGGACTAACATGTGAACTGTGTTCTTTATGTGGCAGGAGCCTTGAATAGCCATGATTCATTAGGTCATACAAAGGCGCCTCAACTCACAACCAACCATAAAACCTACAAATCAAGTCTCCGATTTCTTACTCTTTGTCTGGGTGTAGGTGTGTGTGTAGGATGTGCACGTGCCTGAGCTGTTATTTCATATATACGCCTCCGACCCTTTTTGACCCGGCTGATACAAAGTCAACACAGAGTCTGAAGAGAAACTGTCAACATTTCCTACATTTCTGATATGACCAGCTCATGAACTTTCTCCATGCAGCAGTCCAAACAACGCCAGCCTCAAGGTCAAGACATCTTAATCCACCCGGCTTTGCAGTATTTATTTTTTGGTTTAACTTCTCTTCTTCGTGCTACTAGCTATATTGTGGTTTAGCATGAGCAGCAATGAGCCTGTCTGAGCCTTTTAATAGCGTTTAGGCAGAGCTGATCTACTGGATGACATTAAAATGGAAGGATTTGAGCTGACCACATAGTTACCCTGACACTTCTGCTGACTGAGGGAGAGGACAGTGTGACTCTGTGATTTTGCATGCATTTGGGTGACAGTAAATATATGCATGAGTTAGTGGATCACATACTAAATTCTAAAAAGTCAAACAGTAGTGCTCCCAAAACTTCAAAAGGAGCAAAAGCAATCTTGCACACCGTACTAAGTTCTTACTTAGAGCAAAGTTTTGGTCAAAGATATTCATCAGACATTAAAGTCATTAAGCATCATCGTCATAAACGTAACCTTAAAGGTGGGGTAGGTAAGTTTGAGAAACCGGCTCGAGATTCACTTTTTGTTATATTCCATGGAATGCTCTTAACATCCCGATAGCAATGAATATCTTAAAGTGCTTTGACAAAAAATCCATAAAAACTTTCATCTGTGGAAGCCGTGGCGCTGTAAAAAGCACGACCAATCATTTTAGCCGGCCCGGCTAAAATAACTGGATGGCCTACCTGCCTGTCAGCCTTCCATCTGTGCACAAACTTATCTCGTGCCCTCATTGGTCATGTGCGTGTGTGTTGGAGGAGGGGCTCTGGAAGGAAGTGGCAGATTTTTTCCGGCTGTGTATTTTCAAATTCTAGCGCACTCGAGCTGGTTTCTCCAAAATTACCTACCCCACCTTTAAGGCTGCAGCAAACGCCAAAAAGGAGTTAAATCCCACTACAGGACTTAATACCTAATACATATAGACAAGAAATGTTTTTAAAAATCCATAAAAACAATCCTAACACTACTGTACACAAATATTCATTTACTTAAAAATGGTTAATTGTCTGAACTGATACAAGTTGACTTCTCATTGCATCTGATAGGAATCTTTCTTTAAGTGTGATCTTCTTTGTTAAGTAAATAAAACCCATCTTTTTAAATCCACCTGTCACTCCTTTTGCCAGCCAGCTTGGTCGGTCACACTGACTTATCAAAGGAAAAATGCTTTACAGTGTTCCCACACCTTCTTAAACTTCATATTCAAGGACTTTTCAAGGATATTCACGGCCCATTGCCCCACACAGCATAGATTGAGACAATGATAACGGTTAATTACTGTTACAACACTGATAATGAGATCAAGAAGCCTTCACAGGAGCTCACACACAACCATTAAGAAGAGAGAGAGTCCTCTGTGTGTCACAGCGAGAGCAGAGGATGTGCTCCTCTGCTCTCTCTATCACAGAACAGAGACTTATTAACGAGATGAAAGGCTAAATAAATACAAGTTATATTTCTATTAATGTACAAAATATATAAATTAAACCATGTTCAATGACGTGTGTCCATTTATTTTTAGTTTAAAAACTGGAACTGTAGGGTTAGGGTTAGGGTTTTTATCTTAAACTGCAGATTAACCAAAAGTTATATTTCAATTAACATACAACTGCAAGTCATTGGCTTTAACTTGTTTACACTAAAGGCCAAACAGAATACTATGACGATTAGTCCAGAGGGAAGTGTTTTAGTATTGTACTTAAGTGCACTAAGAGGTCATTAACTATTAGTATTTTTGATGTAATGCTATACTTTATACTTCTACTCCCCAATATTTTGAGAAGCCATTAGTGTACTTGTTACTTATTTTCTTACAGATTCAGATTATTATCTAATATAAAATATAAATCAACTAATAAATAAACAAATTGACAAATAATCAAAGCTAAAACATCCAGCAGCACATTGTAAAAATAAATAGGGTGTTTTAACTTATAAACTGAAGTTCAAGGGCTGCCTGATATATATGAGTTGACTTAAAGTAAAATTGTACTTTGTTTCAACTCACAATGTTAAGTTATACAAGTTATTTTACTAATGATCATTCATTGTTATAACTTAATACTTTGAGTTAAAGAAACTTACAATTTACAATAGAATATAAAGTAATTAGAATTAGCTCCACAGCTGTGAAGATATTAATGCTAGAATAAACATAATCCAGTAATTGGTTTTATGTAAATGATTCTGAAATGGGCCATTACTTGTGCGTTTTTATTTAAGTATATTATAATCCCAGTACTTTTGTACTTCTCTTTAAGTAAGATTTTGAATGCAGGACTCTAACCTTGAACAGTTTCCTTTACAATTCACATTTTAATCAGAGTGCTCTTCCACTTCTGATTACAGAACTAGTGTATTGTATGGGAAAAGTCTGTGGTGTGTGTCCATGTGAGTGTTTGTGTCTCTCCCTACAATCTTTCCCTTACATGCTGGACTCTCTCTAGCTGCGGCTCTACAGCTGTCTGCGTTACCTCCCAGGACACCAAGTCTTTGCAACAAGTGAGCGTCTCCCTGTTTGTCTGCCATGAGGCATTTGACCCGGCCATGACCCCCCCCACCGTGTCCTCTGAGGTCAGCGTTTGTGGGCCAATAAACCGAGCCACCACCAACCTGGCAGTAAGTCAACACACTTTCCCTTTCCAAGAAATGCAAAACGTAAACAAACGCGTGCGGAGCCAGATGGCAAAAAAACCCGTACTATTTATCACAATTGGAACAGTTAATCAAGAATTGGCTTCCTTCCTTTGTTCATCTTGCCGATAGATAAACACACACTACAATTGGTTTATATTTTGTATTAGCCCTGGATCCGGCGGAAGACCACAGGATCCACAGCTGCTCATCTGGACAGCAATGAAATGGGGCTTAACACAGCGCAACGCTTTACTCCAACAGCCACCAGC